AAGCCCACAAAACCCATAGAAAAGCAGTGATGCTTGTTATAGCTAACATGAATGGAAAATTGCTTATAACTTTTCTTTTTTATCCCATCACAATAATGTAGTCCTGTCTTTAGACAGCTTCTGCGGTGAATATACTGTGCTCGCTTTCACAGGCTTGTTGAGGTGAAATTAAAAAGGAGATTATAGTTAGAAACAAAGAAACTTTACATTTGATGATTTGTAACACTCCAAGGGTTAAAGCAAATGTTTGTTACGGTAAGAGACTGTAAGCGCTTTGATCCTCAATTACTGAGGATTACGTACTGAGTCTAAACTTTTGACTTCAAAAATTGTATTAATAAAAAAAAATATTCCGTATTAGAATAGCAAAATGTACTGGCATTTATGATTCTGATGCCCTGTCGTTTCAGAAAAAAATTGTAATTGAAGAATAGTAAAACTTGCGTCTTAAACTTGTCACTCTCTTCATTTACAAAAGCTTTGTCTTAGATTCAGCTAAGAATATCAGATCTTTTAAGCCAAAAAACAAAAGCCTGCTCCTTCTTGAGAAGAATACAAAAGGACTTGCATATTAGCTGTATTGTTTCTGATTATATATCAAAATGTTTGAATTTTCTGTGCTTCTGTGAGCTAGTTTTTATTCTAACTCGCTAAATAATCCAGCAAGCCATCTGGCATGTGCATGTGCAAAAGGAAGAAGAAATTTAGGCTTTTGATTGGTAACAATAGAAAATCCCCTGACCCTGCAGCTGAGCCTATGTTTTATGACATTTGTATAAACTTGTGTGACTCTTAACTTCTGTTGCTTAACCGTTATGTTCCATTTTAGAGAGGATGATTATCACTCTGATCCTGTTTGATCAGTTTAACTATTGCCACATCTTCACAGAAGACAAGGTGGGGCTTGAGGGCCTATTTTATTGGGCATGGGATGAAACGTCCGCGCCGGTGAGCAGCAGGCAGCCTCTTCTCATTGACGGGGAAGTGTGCACGCACTGGCTGGTGCTTGAACTTGTGTTACCAACTTGAGTTTAACCACAGAATCCCTTCAATATCTAACAGCAATGTGAAAACCTCTGCCTGGATCACGCATGCCCACTTCATTCAGATTTATGGCTTATTTGATGGTATAATTCAGCTTTAGAGATGGATTTACAGAGGTAGATGCTAGCTGAGCAGGTTTTGATACGCAGTGTTTTCCGAGTGAACTGGTCAGTGTGGGAAGCTGCTACCCCCTCTCAGCTTGCTTTAAAATGCCCAACCTCATGCTTCGCTCTGGCATTAGGGGCAAGGTCTGGTTGTCAGCAGAAACCCTCATGTCTGCTGATGTGCTCCTGCCTGCAAAGCCTGTGACCCCGGACCTCAGCTCCTTACTGAGCAGTTAGAGGAGTCATTGCTCCTGCCACAGCTGAATTCTTTGCAGCACTTGAGGTTTACAGATGGAGGAGATCTTTTGGCAGCCTCCAGTAACCAGTGTTGTCTGCTGATGTGGTGAACTATTTGTGAAGAAAGGAAAGGAAGCCATGAAGAATGAGGGTTAAATGCCAACCTGCTGTTTGTAAATTGTCAGGTATCTTCTAGTACGAAAGGTGAAAAAGGGAACCGAGTAAGCAGAATGGCTTGAAAACGCAGGGAACTGGGGGCACTGGAGGTTAGGAAAGCCTGAGGTCTGCTATTGATTGGTGTTGGGCTTCTTACAATGGATGAATCTGATCCCTGCTTGATGGGAAATTGATGTTTCAATGTGGCTGTTCAGATGTGGGGTCAAAGCAAAGACAGGCAGTGGCATTAGAAATTTGGGTGAGGGCATTAGGTATTTGGATGAGGGGGTAGCATGCGTGGGAGGAGGCCGTGAACTGAGATAGATGTAAACAACCCATCCTGCGTCAAGACTGCAGCCAGTTGGAGGAACTTCTGGCTCAGATACCTTCACGATAGAGTGGAGGCCACTGGGGTGGGAGATATGGCAAGATGCTCTTGAGACGTGGTGAGTAGGTGCTCTGAAAGACACTACTGGAGACATAAGGATGGAGAGAGACTTAAGTGACAGAAGAGAGAGAGACTTCAGGACTGTATAGGGACTCCAGAACAATGTGAGAGAGGTCCCCAGAAGATGACCAAAGCAGCATTTATGGGACCCCATGGTAGCCCCAGGACTATACACACCCCATGGCTGACCTGCTTGGCTCTTCTCCTGGACCCCTTGGGACAGGGAGGACTTGTGAGGAACTGCTGCACTAACCCACCCCACTTCCCTCCTGGCTGCACTGCTTCTGCTGCTGAGCAGTGAGGTCATGGTTTGTAAAATTGTGCCTATATCTGTGATTAAAATGTTTTGGCATCTGAGCTCATTCCGTCTTAAACTGTGACAGTCAGTCAGGAGATGGTGCCTGAAGATGAGGGAGCCTTCATAGCCCTTGTCTTTCAGTGTGTTCAGTTCAGTAAAGCAATGAAAGTGTCTTGATAAAAAACACAGTTTAATTATCTATGGGGTGTGTAGAATTTTATACTAGTACCCTTTCCTGCATGTCTTTTAAAATTCTGGTATCTTAGCTTTCCTTACTGCTGAATATTGCAAATCTACCAAATTGATACACTGATCTTATATTATGCTTTTTAGGTGTATAGTGAGGGAATTTAGCTTCCCATTTGTTTCCTCCTCCTCTTGTTCCTCCTCTTCATTTGGATATTTTGTCCCATCCCATTTTTTTCCATGCTACTTTGCAGTATTGAAGTACTTTTACTTCTCAAAATCGCAGAGGAGGGAGGGGGAATAAGGTAGAACTGGAAATATTGCCCACGTATGCATGCAAAGACAGCCCATTGGATATTTGTGTTCTTTAGCCAGGAAAACCTTTTTTTAAAACAAGAAATGTAAGCATCTGAGATAGACATTTAAGTATATTTTTATGAAATAGTTAGGTACCAATTTGAAACTTTTAGTCACCTTTGTTTACATTAGCATATTATGCTGGTGTACCAGCAATACTGACAGTGCAGAAATGAAAGATTATTTAAAAAAAAAGGGGGGGGAGACACACAAAATCAAAAGCAAGTGGTGAAAGAAAATGTGGTAGTGAGAGCTGTCATCCTGTCTCCTTGAAGTACATCTCTCTCTTTAAATTCTTCCTCTGGACAATTCCTGGTTTTCTGCTAAGTAGTCCACATTTCGCGGTAAGGGGTTTATGCTTACACAGACTCTCAAACAATTTGTGTTTGTGGGACAAGCAACAGGAGTGAGGGGACAGCACAGCTTTCTGAGCTGGTAAACGTGTGCTTAAGACTTGTCAGTAGTAGCTGCACAGTGCAACAAAAATCGTGTGACAATACTGAGGACATAAGTGCTGCTATACAGTTACTATTTTCTATAATAGATATTGTCATTACTTGATAACACAGTGCAGTAGCTGTCACAAACCATTTTTCCTGTTAGGAAGACTGTAATTTTTCTCTTTTACAGTTCATATTTCAGTGCATTAGTGTGCTGACCATAATGATAGTGACTTTCTGAGTTAATTTTTTTGCTTCCTTTTATAGTGGATTTGGTATAGAAGATTAAACTGATTAAAATGGCCAAAATAAAAGAGATAAGTGAGAGAAAGTAGTTCTTTATTTCCTTTTTCTCTCTGCTTGCTTTGACCACTTTCTATGTATCAGAAGTTTAGACAGTTTAGTGACTGTTTTTCAAGCACTTTCTCCTGAGTAACAGAGTGTTGAGGTCTTTACAGGATGATGAATGAGTTGTGAGCCATCTTCTATGGAGTTTCCAGGTATTCCTGTGGAATATCTTCTGCGATAAAGTACTTCCTGCAATGGCAGTTATTGCTTAAAATGTCCTCTGTGCTGTATTGGGTCCTGTTAGATGCCTGAACACATACGGCCTTTCTTCTTGAGAATAGAGAAGGAGAGCTCTTGGAAGAAGAGCTCGAGGTCCAGAATCTCCATGTTCTTTGGTTCCATGATGTTACCACCAGATGGGTGGCTCTCTGAAACCTGTGCAGGCCATCTGTGCGATTAATTTTCATTGCATTTTACAAAAGTAATTAAAATGGTCCTCCCAGAGTTGCAAACTACCTCCAAAACATAAAAATACTCTGGATAAATCCAAAATCTCTGTCAAAAATAGAAGTGACCTCTTCACCTCTTCTTTCAAACAGCAAGATTGTGCACACAAAAAATAAACCTAAGTTCAGTATCAGTGTGTTTTATACAGGGGTACTGTTTTGCTGATAATACTTGCTTTTTCTGATCAGTATTGCTTTTTCAGTGGTATCCGGGAAAGAACAACCTCAGCATGTTGTAAACAGTCTTAATGTCTGGATTTCACCATCTCTGCTGATGCATTTATTAGTTTCCCTGGTGTCTTCACCACTTCATTTCACTATAACTTTTTTCCCATGTTCCTAATAACTTTTGTGATTCTAAATGTTATGTAATGCTAGGTTTGGTAACCATCTCCCAGCACTGATGTTCTGCACCCTGGTGGGGATGCAAGGGACAAGAGTTACGAAATAGGAAGGTTCTTCCATGGCCATTTGTGCCCTTCATTGACACAGAAATAACTCAAACTGGTGTGCTGCGGTGCCTGGGGACAATGTGATGACAAGTGGGATGAAAGTGGTATCTGATCAGTTGTAGCTAATGGCTTCAGTCAGTTATACTGGATTTCTTGTCTGATGAGGCTTGCTAACAGCGTAAGCTGGTGAATCCAGTGTCCTTGTCCCAAAAAGGTGAGTGAGATTTGAATGAGTCAGGTGTCCTGCTGCTGATACAGTTTAAGTTATGCTGAATTGTTAACAGAGTAAATGAGTTCCTCGTGATAGGGCCTTTTTAAAATACTTTTATGAAAAGGCCTGTTAGCTAATTTTTACTGGAAATTACTCATATGTTTTAGGAATTATGTTTTAATACACCTAATTGCTTTTAAGAAAGTTTGAAGCATATACTCTGTGACTAGAAAAAAACACATAAGAAATCTCATTTTCTTGTATACAGAATGCATCAAAATCAAAGATGAAGAAAAAACCAACTAAAACCCAAGAAGCCAAAAAAATCTTGAAGAAGAAATTTAAAGTCAACACAAAAATAGTCTTTACTGAAGATGGAGAGGTAAGATCAATTCAAAGTAGCTATATTTTGCTGGGAACTGAATTTGTAGCTTCTGTAAAGACCAAAATACTTACAGTTTATATCTGTATAAAAAGATATGTTTTTCAGAATTGTGTGGTTTTCAAAATTCGTTTAAGTTTTGCAACGCTGTTCAGCTTCCATTTAGAATTCAGTTCCACCGTGAAAAAGAGGAATGCTCAGCACCAACCTCTTTTCATCTTTGTGTGTGTAAGATACTTGTTCGGGAGCTGCTAGTGGATGTACAGAACCGTACCTCTTTTCTGACTATTGTCTTCAGTTTCAGGTGGAATAAAGAGCCTATTTTTTCCTTACAGAAATGTAAAATGATTTTCCTCTAGGTATTTGCCAAAGCTCCCCCAAGTCTTGAGCTAATGTACTGGAATTAGAGGAAGTCCCTGGTTTTCTTCCCAGTATTCACTATTGAAAGTGTTGCTAGGAAAGCTAAAGAAGTACCAAATTTTTCCCTACTGGTGCTGATGTAGCAGTGCATTGAATTTGCCAGTAATTTAATTGTATCTTTTAATAGCCCCTGAAAAAATGTATTGATTTTGTACAGAAAGGAACTATTGTGGATGCTAGTCACAGCAGGGTTTCATTGTGGCCATAACCTCACTAGCAAGTCTCCACACTCTATAAACTTTTCTAACATTTGATTTCACAGTTTCAGATGCTGTGTACATTGTTTTTCCATTTCCAGCATTAAGAAAAAAGTGGCTTTTTTTTTACTCTAGATTAATTTCAGTAAGGCATAAACAGAGAGGTTACCTTTACAAGTATATAATTTGCTTTCATGACCAAGTAAAAGAAAGCATTTTAAATGGGGGAATGGAGTGTAGCCCTGTAATTACTGACATTAGACAAAATTTAAAGGGTTTTAGAGGTTGACCCATTGAATGGAAGTTATATCTTCAGATATTTTTAGATATTCAAAAGCTGTTGTCTCATCTTAAAATACATATGCAAATGTTTTATCGGTCCATGCAATGAAGCAAAAAGGAGTGAGGTTGGAGGAAAAAAAAATAGCACAAAGACCATAGTTAGAAAAGTAGCACAATAGAGAAGGGGTGACTTATTTAAGGAAATATAAAGTTTGCATCTGTGGATGTTGTTCCTGCTTTTTTTCTGGGCTGTGTAAACTGTGCTTTCAAGTTTTACTGTTCTATTCCACCTACTTCTCTTTGATAAAATAAAACTCCTTCAAGAAATGTATCTTCCTAAAATATACAAGTACACAAACTCCATTTTACAAAAGGAAGTGGAAGCAGTAGGTTGGGTTTATCGGTATCCAGGTGAATAACACTTTGTGTGCATTAGGGAGTCCTAAACATGTTTGGTTTTGAATTTCTGTCTGAAAGATACTCTGTATTTTCTGCCACATAGTTTCTTTTTAAGAGTTACTACTCTACCAATCCATAAGCAAGAATGATTTTTACCCCCAGGTGATGTCTGCTCATACCACAAAGTCAAAAGATAGGCGGGGGTATTTTTTGGTGACTATGTAGTTAGTCTTTGTTTTCAGTTTAGGGTTTCAGATATTGAAGGGAAGCTGGATGTGTTCAGCATGTCATCCACAAGTCAAACCTGAATCATCAAACATTTCCAATCCAGTTTTTGTACAATAACCAATACAACCCTCCACATCTGTCCTCCTTGCTTCCCCCAAAACATGAACGTGCAGTCATGGTTTTTAGTGTACTGTGTGATGAAGGCTTATCTCATTTTCCTCTCAGTTAATATGCTGGAATATTGATTGTTTACGTGAGAACATACTGTTTAGATTTACTGGTGTTTTGTTCTATGCATATATTTTGGAGAGTCATTTCTTGAAAGCAAATACCATTTTTCTCTCCAAATGACTAGCAGGTTTATAAATCATTGGTTCCATTAGGCAAAGAGAGAAAAATAGGGGAAGAAGTTCAAGTAAATCTATTAAACAGTAACATGGTGTAATGGAGACATTATTTTCAAATACTCATTTTTGACTGAATGTGATGTTAAATAAGGTATCCCAGTTTGTATTGTGCAAAAGTTTTGTTTGTTTGTTTCCTTTGCAAAAGTCCTTTTTATTTAGTCTAGAAAAACAGTGTATTGAATATTTAGGGCATCTGTTTCTAACCATTATTTTTCTTGTTGACATGTGTAATTCAGTTTATCCACCGAACAGTCCACCCATCAAATCCATAGCTCTCCAATTTAGAGAGAAGGATGTTGTGGGGGACCGTGTCAAAGGCCTTGCAGAAGTCCAGATAGATGACGTCTGTTGGTTTTCCCTTGTCCACTGATGCTGTCACACCATCATAGAAAGCCACGGGGTTTGTCAGGCAGGACTTGCCCTTGGTGAAGCCATGCTGGCTATCTCGAATTATCTCCCTGGCCTCCATGTGCCTTAGCATAGCTTCTAGGAGGATCTGTTCCATGATCTTCCCAGGCACAGAGGTGAGGCTGACAGGTCGATAGTTCCCGGGGTCTTCCTTTCTCCCCTTTTTGAAAATGGGCACAACGTTCCCCTTCTTCCAGTCACCAGGGACTTCACCTGACTGCCATGACTTTTCAAATATCATGGAGAGTGATGTTAAATAAGGTATCCCAGTTTGTATTGTGCAAAAGTTTTGTTTGTTTGTTTCCTTTGCAAAAGTCCTTTTTATTTAGTCTAGAAAAACAGTGTATTGAATATTTAGGGCATCTGTTTCTAACCATTATTTTTCTTGTTGACATGTGTAATTCAGTTAGTGCAGCAGTGGCCACCTGTGCAAAAATCCAGTTTGGCGAAAGCAGATGAGGAAGATGATGCCAGTGGTATCAACTTAGATAAAGCGAAAGAGATACTGCGGGAAGAAGACAAATTTGACAAAGAAGAATACAGGAAGAAAATAAAGGAAAAACATAGGGTAAGTTGATTTCTACCTCAATTACTGAAGTGCAGAAATAGATGTGATATGGATTGCTCAGTGAGGAAAAATACTTAATATATTTGTGAAATAAGTGTAGTATAAGTTCATTTAATATTTTCAGGACTACATTGCACACAGGAAGACTGTTCTGATGTAAGTAGCTGGATAACACAAAGCCTTATGCAATACTGGTTGTTGGTAACAGTGGAGCTTTATTTACAACTTTAAAACCTGATAAGAATTTAGTGGGAGCATAATTTTTTTTTTTTTAAGCAGTGCTTAGTGAAAGGGTTTGTTTCACAAAAAGAAGGTGTTTTTTGGCATACGTGCTCTAACAAATGCTGAAGATGTTTGGGGGGAAGGAGAAGTAAAAGAGTGTCTCTGAAATGTCTTCAGAATGCCACTTGCTCAACATTCAGTATTAAATTTCAGGTAGGCAAAAGTGCTAACTTTTTGCATTGGTGTTTTTAGGGCTATCAGAATTTTTTTCATTAGTTATTCAAATAGTGTCATATAATTTTGGCTGTAATTTGAAAGCACCAGTATCTGCAGTCTGGCTTCACTCTGGCATTTAAAAACCTTTAAATTGCAGACCATAAGTTTGCAAATTGCTTCTGTAGTATTTGTCATGGACCAAAGCAGAGTTTTCTGACCTTGTCATGTACCAGTCGTGGAACACAGCTGGATGTCTTCAAGTTCAGGGTTTGTTCTGTTAGTCACTGTAAGAAGGGTTTGGATTTCTCCAGATAATAGGTAAGTGTGAGATCTCAGGACTATGCGTTATTAAAGGCCTGCTTTATACTCAAAGCTTCTAATTTCCAAAGCATTAAAAAGCGTTGCTTTATTGCCCTGTTCTGCAGATGCTGACTTTATCTAGTTTGATTTTATCCACTGATTGCTAGTGACTAGTGCTAGATGTTCTAGTGTCTGTTAGGGTTTGTATTTGAACAAAATAATTTGGAAGGGAATTTGTGAAAGCTTCAAGTTAGGTTTGGGCACTGAAGCATTCCAGCTAAAGTCAAAGCATACTTCGCACATTTAATTTGAAAGTCTACTCCTGTAGTCCTGTTAGTCATTTGACAGTGACAAAAAAATCTCACCTCTTCTTTAGCAAAGCGCTACATTTGAAAGTAGGTACAAAGAAATAATGTTGTCTGTGCTACGGGTGAAATCATAGTCAAGTTTACAGAAGGCAATGCTATCGAAATCCAAGGATGCAGTTTAATAAACAAGGAAGGAGAGACTGATTTATGACTTTCCAATCAATCTGCTATTCACTAGCAAATTCATATACTTTGAGTGATGCTGTTTTATGTTTGACATCAGACTTCAGTGATTAAGTACTTCAGCAGTTGGTCTGTTAACACGGCTTTATCATTATAATGCAGTGGAGAACAAATTACATTGGTCAGATATTTCCTTGCATTAAAAAAAAAAATACATTTCAACTGTGGAGATACTTTGAAAAGAGAGTGCCTCTTTTGAAAAGGTGGGGCAGACAAAATGAACAGAACTGGCCACATCATCAATATCACAGAGGTTTTTTGTAATTATGGAAAGTGTCGAGTTTCTTGTAACCTACCTTACTGCATGAATGTTTTTCACATTGCACCTAATTATTTTCCTTTATGAAATTAAATAAAAGAAATGGATGGTAGTATGACAAAAAGAAGGAAATATATTTTTTAAAAAAAGGCTTCTGACTGAGGTACTGTGAAATTTGTGTCTAGTTTTTAGGGCTGCCGTACTGCATTCAGTCATTGCATGCACATTCAGATTTTTTATTTGCGGCTTAACAATTTGAGGTGAAAAATGCTTCGTATGGTAAACTTCCTATACATGATGAAGTACTCAGTTTCCTGATTGTCATTTAGTTTTTGAAATGGTCTCACAAACTGTTTAGTATCCTAATTTTTTACTTACCCAAATTTAAAGCAGATGAAAACTAAAAGGGCAGAAGGGGCAGGAAGGTGATGTGTGGGAGTTCAGGATTCACTTTGGTTAGAACCTCATTTGCCTCCCCATAGTCTCGCTAACCTTGTGGTTAAAGATGATCCTCCACCCTCACTTCAGAAGGCATTCAGATTTGAGATACCAATTCAATTTATACATAAATTAATACAGGCTATATAAGGTAAGGCTGCCACAGAGATTAAAGGTATTTCTGTTACTCTACCTTATTACTAAGTCATCCTTTATGTCTGGGATTCTTGACAGTCAGTTGTTGCTGATTAGGAAATAGCTGTAATAATAATAGTTGGGAAAATATGTCAAGTCTTCCTCTTTTGTCTCATCCAAGCAGAGACAAGCACTACCTCCTTTCTCTGGGTCATGATAAGCTGGTCTAATGATCAGAATATCCACTCTTCCAGTGACCCATGAAGAAGCTACATTGTTATTATGTGGGGCAGGTATTATTCATTTTTTTTTCTTAACAGAAAATGTGTAATTAGTTAAATTCACACTATAGGGAGAAGTTCTATGGCATAATATAGAAATCATAGATAAGTGTCATAGATAGACATTATTTTACTGTATCTCATTTCAGCCATTTGTTTCTCACTAATACTTTTTGGGAATTTATTGCATTGTCAGTGGAGCAAGTCATAGAGTCATAGAATGGTTTGGGTTGGAAAGGACCTTTAAAAGTCATCTTGTGCAACCCCCCCTGCAATAAGCAGGGACATCTTTAACTCGATCAGGTTGCTCAGAACCCTGTCCAACCTCACCTTGAATGTTTCCACAGATGGGGCATCCACCATCTCTCTGAGCAACCTTTTCCAGTGTTTCACTATCCTCATCATAAAAAATTTCTTCCCTAAATCTACTCTTTCAGCTTAAAGCCATCACACCTTGTCCTATTGCTACAGGCCCTACTAAAAAGTTTGTCCCCATCTTGCTTAAAAGCCCCCTTTAAGTACTGAAAGGCCACAACAAGGTCTCCCTGGAGCCTTCTCTTCTCCAGGCTGAACAAGCCCAACTTTCTCAGCCTTTCTTCATAGAAGAGGTGCTCCAGTGCTCTGATCATTTTTGTGGCCCTCTTTTGGACCCGTTCCAACAGTTCCATGTCCTTCTTGTGCTGAGGACTGGCCGCAGTCCTCCGGGTGAGGTCTCACCAGAGCAGAGTAGAGGGGCAGAATCACCTCCCTCGACCTGCTGGCCACACTTCTCTTGATGCAGCCCAGGTTATGGTTGGCCTTCTGGGCTGCAAGTGCATGTTGCCAGCTCATGTCCAGCTTTTTATCCACCAGTACCCCCAAGTCCCTTTCCAGAGGGCTGCTCTTAATCCCTTTCTCCTCCAGCCTGCTATTGATACTGGGGTTTGTCCCAACCCAGGTGCAGGACCTTGCACTTGGCCTTGTTGAACCTCATGAGGTTCACATGGGCCCACTTCTTGAGCTTGCCCAGGTCCTTCCAGCATCCTGTCACTCAGGCGTGTCAATGGCACCACTCAGCTTGGTGTCATCTGCAAACTTGCTGAAGGTGCACTCGATCCCCCTGTCTATGTTGTCGATGAAGATATTAAACAGCACTGGTCCCAATACAAACCCCTGAGGGACACCACT